AACTTTAGCAGTTATGAAACAAAAATTAATGCCACTATTTTTGCCTGATCCCAGTAAAGTTAACTTAAAGACTAAAGCAGATGAATTTTATCAGAAGTGGAACTTTCCTAATTGTGTACTGGCAATTGACGGAAAACATGTTAGAATCCAATGTCCAAGTAATTCAGGTTCTTTGTTCTTTAATTATAAAGAATATTTTTCTATCRTGTTGTTGGCTATGGTGGACGCAAACTATAAATTTATAGCTATTGMTGTTGGATCGTTTGGGAGARAAGAAGATAGTGSCATTTTTTTGAAATCAAGTATGGGGCAACAAATATTGAATTGTACATTTGGATTTCCTGAGGATTGTGCACTTCCTGGCACTGACAGAAAAGTTCCACACGTCATACTTGGTGATCAAGCTTTCAGACTGCACAAACATATTTTAAGACGCTTTTCACAAAAGTCAGCCAAAGCAGATAGTAAAAAAAACAATATTTAATTATCAACTTAGCCGTGCTCGACGAGTTACAGAGAATGCTTTCGGATTATTAAGTAAAGTATTCAGAGTATTTTTTCAACCCATTAATATAAATACAACAACGTGTGATGACTTGATAATTGTAGCATGTTGCWTACATAATATGTTACGAGACGCATATTTGGAAAAAAATGGAAAGATATTTTATCAACCCGATTCAGAATAACTTYTTACTGCTAACATGACGTCTTTGGCCGGTGAAATTGGATTTTTAAGCACAGAAGGCATCGCAGTGAGAGACATTTTTAAAGACTATTTTGTCAACGAAGGAACTGTATCGTGGCAAACATAAAATTTAGTAGTTCTATAGTTAAATAATCTAAATGTACTATTTTGTTTGATGTTAGTTCTCATTTTTATATTTAGACGTATTTATATTTGATTATTTCAAATAATATTATTACGATCACGAATATACTATCATTAAAGAGTCAAAATATTAAGGTATAAATAKGTAGTAATAATATAGCTTCTTGAAAATAACAACAACATATATTTTTATTTAAACCAGTCTTATGGTTAATTTATTATTTTTAAATAAAATCAACAAACAATTGAATTAAAACGAGTGAATTTTAAAATATAACAAAAAACTTAACATTATAAATACCTAGGAATCTTGGTATGCACAAACTTATAATAAGCACCAAMTATTATTAAAGTTAAAGAAAAAATTACAAAAGTTAAATACTTAAAGATTAGACGTGTCATCATAATTGAACGGCAAAACCCCTTGTGATGATGTTGAGGTACTATATGAATTAGCTGGTGAACTCAGTTGACATGGGTACATATTATTGTTGTAATTGTAATTTGGTGGTACTTGATAAGTTAGTGTTTGAGCAATTTGAGGATTTGAATATTTGTCATCTATCTCAGAGATTAAAGTTAGTATCCTAAGTTTAGCTTCTTTGATTGCTTGCGGTGACATTTTTTTTTACCGTCATAGCAATACTTTTGAAAAACATAACTACATCATCCTCTTCACATAGTGTTTTCATACTTGTCGCCAATAATTTATTTTGTTCTTGGATACTTAATATTGTATCCTTCGTATCCTTTAAACGTTTGGCCAAAATAACAGAAATCTTTTCTTCTTTTGACCGAATACGTTTTCCTGCATATGAAGTTGATGGCAAATCGTCGGACATGGTATTTTTTTCTGTTTGTTCTTGTTCTTCGTTGTCTTGTACATTTTCTTC